GGAGGAGGAGAAAAGAAAGAATCAACCATCTCCTTTGGAAGAAAGAGTGGTTCCAGAACAGCACAGCAATAAATGAGTAGTCAATGGCAATGAAATTTCTAGCCTCAATTGCTAAAGGATTGGCATAACTGTACCTTCTGTGTCTTTCCTATTGTGCCAAATGTTACAAGGAACCAGGAATAAGTCCTGACTTAAAAAAAAAAAAAAAAAAAACAACTTAGAATTTAGTCTCTCTCGGGAACCCACACATTGACACATGGTACAACTAGCAGATCAAGTGAAGGGCCACCAGTCAGTACATTCCATCTACGAAAAAGCATGAAGAGACTGCAAAGGGAACAGGTGGTGGTCCCGGAGGTGTTCGTTCTTGGAGAGCACCCTTCTGCTGTTCATTGAAGAAGACAATAGACCTGCTTTGAGATGGAGGAGTAGCTATAGAGCCCTGTGGAGAGGTTGGCTCCAGAGTGAGAAAACATAAACCAAGAAAGCCATCCGACGCCCCCTCTTTCACCACAGTCACCTGCAGAGAGCTGCAGGTTCACAGGATGTGCTTCGGGTGAGTGGGTTTTATTTTATTCACAACCTCATAAAGTAATAACCAAACCCCTCCTAGGGAATAAGAAAAGCACTTGGCTGCGATTCTTGTCTTACCCATGTAGTCGCCACCTTGTACAAAGAAATCCAAACCYCTATTCATCACTTTTGCTGTAAACTCATCTATAATGCAGTCTTTACTAAAAAGAACCTTCACATAATGAAATGGCTTTTATTGAGCAATTACACACATCACCTGGATGCAAAAGACAGCATATCTTTCAAATATATTTCACAGACCCCCAAAATTATCTGAAGTGAGATCCGTATACTCTACTAACCATTCGGAAAATATAAGTCTATGATGGAAAGAAAAGCAAGAGATTAAAAATAAGGATACCGAAAGAAAGAAGGGGARGAAGACAAGCTGGAAAATTGATTAGATCTTAATTCTGGGTTTTGGGGGGGAGAGGGGTTGTGTATTTGTTTATTTATTTGTTTGTTTGTTGTTTTGGTACTGGGAATTTAACCCAGAGGCATTTAACCACTGAGTCATATCCCCAACCTTTTAAAATATTTTATATAAAGGCAGGGTCTCCCTGAGTTGCTTACCACCTAAGTTGCTGAGGCTGGCTTTGAACTCTCGATCCTCTTGCTTCAGCCTCCTGAACTGCTGGGATTACAGGCATGTGCCACCATGCCCAGGTAGATTTTAATTATGGTATGAGTAGTACTGTATGTTTCAATACTTATTCAAGATAAAAAAAAAATCCCTTTTATACCCCATTCATACCCAGACTGATTTTCATTAAGCCCAGGTGAGAAAGTCAGGGATAGAGTTATAAGGAAAATGGAATACAATATTAAATGAAAATAAGAGGCTTTCACAGGGAGAGGCAAGACTAAACGATGAACAAGAACAGAGTAGACAGCCATCTGGGAACCAACACAAGAAGATTCTCACTCTCTTTCAACTGACAGCAGCTCTTACATCTCTCACAACCAGAAACCCTCCCCCAGCAAGAGACTCCAGAGACACCGGGTTGAATGAATCCCACCACACACTTTTTTTTCTGTGCACTTATCTGGATGCGTCATCCTCCTTTGAAGCAAAAGACTCATTAATCCAATTTAAATTGTCAACATCAGTAAGTTCTTTACATTTAAATGCCAATATCAATTAAATGCCAAGAACAACTTATCCACTGAGATAATCTTCACTACATTCGGGACACACAGCCAGGAGTCCAGCCAGCACTGATTCCAACTCTCCTTCATCCTCTCTAATTTACTCAGCACAAAGACATGATATAAGTTGCAGGCCACACTGGCGATGCACCCAACTGGATTGGAAAAAAAAAAAAAAAAAAGCTCCCAAGCAGATAAAAAGGAACAAAGTGAGTTTTCATCCACCAAACCTGAATGATGTCTTCACCAAGGCTTCGGGGCTATCCAGCTGTGGCAATTCATCTGCTAGGATTTCTTCCGGGGGCCGTGGGTCATGAACGATTGTTGGCCGTGGCTTCTCCTTGAGATTCCCGGTGAGCCCATCGATGAGGGAGTTCCACAGACAGTTCTGCGACTTCGACCCTGAGGATGAGGAGAAAAGGATGACGTGCAGGTAAATCCCCAAACTACTAGGTGTTCTGCCTTTCTGTTCAGGATGTTCAAAAGCAGGGCAGGGAGATTTGTGCCTTTCTCATCATCTCCACCAACATCCAAGGGCTCCAGAAGATACTGATCAGGCAACATATGGAGTAACCAGGAATTCTTACATTTATTCAGAAAATAGGCTAGCACTGAGCAACCTGACTTAMTGTCCGCATTATGGATACATCCTGTCTCATCTCGGAGGTGTTCAACCCTCAACTCCTGGGACAGCCTCAGATACCTACTAAGATGTTCATTCAGCAATTGCAAGTGCTCTAAAGTGCTACCATTTTAGGGAACAGTGGGGATGTTCAGACACAAATCTCCCCTAGGTTCTTGGCTTGCCTGAGGCCTAAGCTTCAAAACTCCATTCTGTAGACACGCCCACCCCAAAGAGATCCCCACCCCTAAGAACTGGAGCTCACAATTCCCAGGTTGATTCTTCTGCAATATGAAGACCCAAAGAAAACTACGCTGCATGTTTATTGATATCCTACTCTACAAACACTTCAAAATACAAGATAATCATGAAAGGCAAGCACCAAGTGAAAGTGGTGTCACAAAAGTAGAGCCTGATTAGCCAGGTGGTCAACATCAACAGTGACAAGTGATATGGACAGTGTGGACCCTTGATGTGATGTGAAAACAGCTCTGGGATCGCTCTCATCAAAACACATCTTCCCCGGGTAGTAAGTATGATCCCATCTTTTGTAAACTTCATGCTTTAGCGTCTACCCTATCTGAACCTAGCAGACACAGCCAGCTCTGTCACTTTGCCTTGGTCCCCACCTCTCTCAGCACCCACCCACCCCAGCATCACAGGGGGATTCATCCTCCCAGGGATGCACGTTTCAAATACAAACCARCCAGTCCATAATCCATCCAAACCTCTTCCCTCAAAGGGATTTCATGCTCCTTGCCCCTATCCACCTGCCCTAGCAACCCCAGGCCCAGGTACCAGACAGCTAGGTACTAGACAGCCCTGTGCCCAAGAACCCATTCAAACTAGCCAAGCCTAAGCCTGCTTGTCCAGCCTTGCCTGTTCCTTCCCACAAAGAAAAAAAAAAAAACAATAAAGCTCTTGTCCATGATTCCTCTCTCCTTCTGCCTCAGAACAGACCCCAAGTGCTTCCCCAAATGCCCCCAGGACACGATGTGGAACCCACCCCTAGGATCTATCAGTACAACAAGCTGTCTTTACAATGGCAGTTGTCTCCAGATCTGTTGGCCTTCCCATATGTAAATAATAATAAAACCTATTAAAACACCCAGTCTAGTCATGGGGAAAACGTCTGATAAATAAGTACTCTTTAAAACCATCAAGGTCATACAAGGAAAGTCTGAGAAACTGTCACAGCCAAGAGGAGCCTAAGAAACAAGATGACAAACTGCAATGCGTTATCCTGGATAGGATCCTGGACCTAAAAACATTGTTAAGAATCCAAACAATGTATGGAATTCAATTAATAATAATGTATCCAAATTAGTTCATAACTGTATGAAGTGAACCGTATTAATGGTCCATTACAGAGGTATCCAGGTGTGAGGAATACCAGATTTCTTTGTATTGTTTTATTAGAAATCTAAAAACTATTAAAATAATTCTAAAAATAAAAGCAAGTAGATAAAAGYAAATCCAAAACTTCACTTAAAATGTCTATGAGTACAAATTTTTTCCAGTCTGAGAGCATTATCATTACTCAAATACCATTAGCTTGTGCTGCTTACACACTACTCAGAGGAAAAAAAAAATGATTTTACCTTTGTACAAAGACTTTGTCAGACAACCAACACCTGTACGCATGGATCTGTGTCCATCCTGAGGGAAGTGGCTTTTTCAACCCCATTCAAGCAGAGGGAATGCCTCTTTCTAACTCACACAAAGGCTCTTTATGGGRCACAGGTGATGTGCAGGAAACAGTAAGAAGCAGTGCCAGCTAAAGCATATYGTGCATGTGACAGGGGTGGAGAGACTTGGTTTGTGTGCCCATAGCCTTACCTCAACACCCTGACCAGCCACCTATAACCCACCTTATGATATCACCCAGCTTCTTGTGCCTGAAGGATAGTTTTGCTACTAGGATCAAAAGAATTTCACACACAAAGAGAGAAGCATCTCACAAAGTTCCTTGAGCTTTCACCAAGGATACCCAGGATCAGCAAACAATTCCTGTAATGACCATGGCCATGATTGATTCCCCTTGGGGTGTCCATCCAAACTGCTTTCAGGTCAATCAAGAGCACTTTAGTGGCAGGAAACAGACCCCCTCCAACTCCTGAATTGCAAAACAACTTTTTTAAAGCCCTAAACATATATCTTAATATGATCTAGTCTTATTAATGAAGGTCTGGTCCTATGTTGATGAAGATCTCTGGACGCTAATGAGGATCTGGTGGTAGGAAGAAGAACAAGAGCAGGGCCTGTTTTCTTAAATTTGGCCTAAGTGAAAGCCTTGCAATAAGCCTCCTGCACACTTCCCTTCGTTCCTTCATTTTGTTCATTCTATAAACACATATTTAATTTCCTCAGTATGCCAAGTTCCTTTCAGGCCCTAAAATAGAAAAATGAATGATTGAGGAATTGAGAATGTAAAAGGAGGAGACGGAGGTAAATGGTGAGTGATACTATTTATAACTTCTACCCCAGCCTTCTTTTAAATTTATTGATGTAACTTTTGTAACTTTGACCCACAAGCAATCACGACAAATAAGCAATACCCATAACTAAGGGGCAAACAAGGTGTTCCAGGAGCCCAGGGAGGGCTCACCTACCCAGCCTCAGCACCCTGAGGAAAGCTACACTGAGAACACAATACATGATGTGAATCTAAAGCCAGAGCAGCTCTTCAGCAGGTACGGAAGAACAGGGAGATGGTTCAGTGCAAAGAGTATGTGCAAAGGCTCAGGGGCACAGCAGAGTGGTTTACTGAGGCTGGAGTCAAAGAGGGGGCCTTGTAAAGTGCCTTGAACAAAATGCTAATCATTTTAAATTTTCTTCTGTAAGCCAAAAAGTACTTAAGATTTTTAAGCAAGGTTGTGGTGTCATACCTGTTTTAGAAGAGAGACCACATGTTGTAAGGCAATGAGCCCATGAGGAATGGCAGGGTTATACAAAGGGCTCTGTGAATGCAGACAAAGCCAGGCACTTTATCTGTAGGTGAGCTAAAGTCTCACGCACACAAATGACTACTTTGAAGTACATACAGATATGACTAATAAACGAAAAATCATGAATTCAAAGCATTCATGATTCATAATAGCTTTTTTACCATGTTCTCAGTAGTGAATGAGAAGGATCAAGGGACCCAAGCCAAGGGGCTGGAGCTATAGCTCAGCCGCAGAGCTCTTAACCTCGCATGCGTGAGGCACTGGGTTCAACCTCAGCACCACATAAAAATAAACAAATAAAACAAAGGCATTCTGTCCATCTACAACTACAAAAAAAAAAAAAATTAAAGAGACCCAGCCAATTCTCCATTACAGGTTCCAAATAGACACACAATGATGTCTCCAAAAGGTACTAACAGCACAGACACACTGATAAGTTCAAGAGAAGAATATAGCATTATAGCATAAGCTATAAATAAGATTCTCTTAACATTCATCCCTAACTATACTTTCACTTGCCATCTTCTTCTCAACAGCCTAGTAAACAATTGGGTATGGTGCACACACCTATCATCCCAGCAGCTCAGGAGGCTGAGGCAGGAGGATTGCTAGTTCAAAGCCAGCCTCAGTAACTTAGTGAGGCACTAAGCAACTCAAGGAGTCCCTGCCTGTAAATGAAATTTTTAGAAAAGGGCTGTGGATGTGGCTCAGTGGTTAAATGCCCCTGGGTTCAATCCCTGGTACCAAAAAAAAAAAAAAAAAAAAGTTTAGGAAACAATATATGCAATTTTTAGCCTCTTTTGCTGCCACAGTTAACTTTGTATTATAATTCTGGTCCAATNGGAGTAAATACTCATTATAAGAATATTTTTGCCAAAGTTTTGAAAACTTGGTCTTTCCCTCAAAGATCCTCCCCATATTCATGAGCAGAAAGTATGCAGATTTCACAGTATGATGAAGTTTAAAAAAACAAACAAAAAACTTACTTTCTTGCTAAATTCAAACAAAAGCAGAAAGCTAAAATAACAATAACAATTTTAAAGATGGGAAATATCCAAGCCCCATCCCTGTCTTAAAACATTCTAGTCATTATCCCACTTGACATAAGCTGTAATTACATAGAACTTAGGCACCATTAACAGGGATTAACTAAGAGCTTATTAATGCAGCACCTATAATCTGACCCTAAGAAACAAACCCATTGAGGTCCAGGCAATTGGCAGGATAAGGGCATCACTAGGAATTTTTGTTTTATTTCTCTTTTAATCTCTTTCAGAAGATAAATGATTAACAACTGCCTGCTTCAGGTAAATTACACAACACAAAATGGGAAGACTTAAGAATGTTGCTATGCCTGGAGGATGAGTTCACTGATTCATGCCAACCAAYAACAGAAAAGTACTAAGTGCCCCCCAAGCTCTGGCATGGTGCTGAGCATTTCAGAGCTTTGTGCTGAAAGCTACAGTACACATAGAAACCTTTATTCCCTTACTCAAGAAGCTTTGAAAAGAAGGTGAAAACACAAGGCAGACTAGAGCTACTCTTTTGAAAAATGAACTGATTTTCCCCTAATCTCTACCCCTATCCCCTTCACAAACACTATCAAGAAAAAAGGTTAAGACTTTAAAATGGGCAAAAAAGTTTAATGGGTATCCTATCTAATTCATCAGGGTCATCTGGGTTTTATCTCCGTATTTCATTATCATAGAACTATTTTATACAGTGTAAATTTGAGAAAACTGATAGTAATGCAAATGATTCTATTTTTAATCTTTTTTTAGTTGTAKATAGACACAATATCTTTATTTTATTTATTTTTATGCAGTCCTAAG